TCTAAATAAAATAACTGAAATAAAAACAGCAAAAGTTTTAAATAAATTCTAAATAAAACATTTGCTTAAATTCTGAATAAAATTACTAAAATAAATATGGCAAAACTAATGTTAATTTAAATTCCAAATGAAATAATTAAAATAAAAACGGCAATGTATCATATATACTCAAAACAATACAAAAAGAAAAACGACAAAACCAACGGTATACTTAAATTCTAAATAAAATTAATAAATTCAAAAGGGCAAAACGAACGATTTACTTAAATTTTAAAGAGAATAAATAAAAATATAATTAGTTAAAAGTTATAAAATCATAACGGCAAAACAAAAATCATGTGAGGTAGGATCAAAAAAATTGTAAATTTTAGTAAAATTTACAATGCATTTTTTTGATCCTACCTCAAATGCGGAATGCCGAATGCCGACCCTAATTCCGAGGGTTGTATATATATATATATATATATATATATATATATATATATATATATATATATATATATATATATATATATATATATATATATATATATATATATGTATGTATGCTAGAGCAGCTAGGCTTGGGCAGTTATGACAGTGCTGAAATTTGTGAACTTGTAGGGATCTACATATTCAATGAACTATTCTATATAATTATAAAAACTGACATAGGGCTTTACTGTGGTGATAACTTGTTGATAATACGTAATTCTAACGACCAAGAAATGGAGTGATTGCGAAATATAATATTTTATATATAATTCAAAAATTAAAAGATATAGGATATCAAATAGATATAAAAACAAATTATAAATCAGTTAGCTTCCTCAATGTTACCTTTAATTTAGCCTAAAACACCCATAAGCCTTTCAAAAAACCAAACAATAATCTTCAATATATCCACACATCTTCTAAAAACCTATCACAAACACTTACCTACTTTAATATGCAACAGACTTTTGCAAAGTTCCTTAAATGAAGTTATATTTAATCAATCTTAAAACGAAATAAACAAGCACTATAAAATAGCGGATACAAAACTGCTCTTTTGAATATCAGATCAAACAAAAAACACCTAAAAAAAAATTGTAAACGCAATACAAAATTGTAAACGCAATATAAAATTGTAAATGCAATTTTCGAGGCCACATAAGGAGCCCTATGTTATGACCTAGGTTTAATTAACAGGACTGAGAAAATTGCATAGCTCATTGCTTGGGAGGCTGTGCTCTAGTGAGACTAATTTAAATTTTGCTATTCCTCCTTCTGATCTCAATGTTGTTTATTATCCTTTGATTCACAAAGACTCTAATAGTCACATGCTTGGCTTAAGGGTGTAGATACGCATTAATTCACCTATTTGTTGTGAAATCATGTTTGAATCCTTTGACCATTCCTTAATGTGCTTCCGCTTAGCACCTCTTCACTTTATAATCTTTCTCTTTGTTCTTTATCGTTCTCCTTCTTCCCAAGACTGCACTCTTTTAGATATAATTTCTGATCAAATTGACCATGCTCCCTCTCTTTACTCCTCTGCCAATATTGTTGTTATTGGTGACTTTAATGCTCATCACACTGACTGGCTTGTCTCTAATACCACTGACCCTGCTGGCACTAAAGCCTATAACTTCTGCATTTCTCAATCTCTTACTCAGATAGTTAACTTTGTAACTTGTTTTCCTGACCATCCTAATCATTTACCTTCACTCCTTAATTTATGTCTCGTCTCTGATCCTAGCTTGTGTTCAGTTTCTCCTTTTTCTCCCTTAGGTAGTTCTGACCATGCAATGATCTCTTTAAATCTTTTATCTCGTACTTCATTTTCAGACTCACCCTATCATTGCATTACTTACTTTAACCCTAAAGCTGACTGGGATTCTTTTCATGATTTCCTTCATGACGGTCCTTGGGCTAATGTCTTTTCCCTTTCAGCTGTAAAATGTGCCTCCTACCTAACCTCTGGGATTCAGGCAGGAATGGATGCTTTATTTTTTTTCATTGGTTCAAAGTCAAGCCTCATTCTACTCCATGGTTTTCACCCTCTTGTGCAGCTGTGATACCTAATTGTAATCATTTTTTTCATCTTTTTCAAAAGAACAACTCTCTTGAAAACAAACAGCTATTTATTATTGCAAGAAATCGATGTAAAAAGGTGCTGTCAGATGCTCCATTATTCTCAATTCACTAAATCTCATATCTTATCTCAAAAGTTAGGCTCTAGAGACTATTGGAAAATCTCCAACAGGGTTGCTAACAAAAGAAAGTCTAACAAAGCATCCTTTTGTCTTTTCTACAAATACTACTATGGCGGCTGCTCAAAGAAACTTTTATTTCTAGTTCCATCAACTAAAACTCATTCTCGCTTGACTTGCCATTTATCATTCTTATAGTGTATCTGTCCCTGCATGCTCCAAAAACTTTTTGTCTAGCTTTTTCCCCCGCACTTTAACCCTATGGAACTCTCTCCCATCTTTATGTTTTCCTGACTCATACAACCTTCAACTTTTTAAGTCTTCTATCAACCGATTCCTTGCTCTTAAACTCTATTCTTTTTTTCTAGTAACTACTAACTTAATAGTGCTTGCTTGCAGCCTTTTTTAGAGTGAATCAAAATTGAAGAAAAAAATAATGGTTTAATCCCCTATTTAACAAAGACATCTTATATAGACAAATATTGATAAAATGTTTTAAAATTTACTAGAAAAAAACTTTCCTTAAACACACAAACTTCACAAAATCTTTAACAGAAACATTGTAAATTCTTAGCTACAGCTGCACTGAAAATATTGAGAAAGTTATAAAAAACCACAATAAAAAAAGCTATCCTTCAATAATTCAAAATAATGACCCAAAATGCAATTATTGAAGTAAAATAGAATGCCTCCTGAATGTTAAATGCAACCCTCGGAATAAAGAAAAATGAGGTTGGCAATAAACTGCTGACCTCAAACTGTTAAAGGTCAGCAAATAGATTTGACCCAAAAGGGTTACCATAAAACATAGAAACGAGGTCAGCAATTTTTTGCAGATCTCAAACACTTTTAAGTTGGCATTGCCAAACGCCGAAATTATTACCAACTGATGTAAGTGCAAATCCATAAACATATACAAATGCATCATCACAACTAAAAACCAACCAAAGTTTATATTGGATTACTGGAAATGAAGATCAGTGTTGGCCTTTGAGGATGGCTTAAGTAAAGCGGTTAGAAAGAAACAATTTGATAATCTTAAAAACTTTCCCAGATACACTATATGAAACAAGCTTGTGGAGAAGACCAACATGTTAAACTTTGTCGAAAGCATTAGATTTGTCAAGAGCAATAGTCTCTCTACCTTTATCTAATGCACAATAAAATCTTTCAGTTGCAGCAGTTAACAATCCAGCTGTAGAGTGAGAAGATCAAAAACTGTATTGATTGTCTGATAGCAACAATATATATATATATATATATATATATATATATATATATATATATATATATATATATATATATATATATATATATATATATATATATATATATATATGTATATATGTATATATGTATATATATATATATATATATATATATATATATATATATACATATATATGTATATATATTGTTGTTTTATTGTATCAAGTTAAGATACAAAGTTGTTCAAGAGTGATCAATATAATGTATAGTTATTTACAAAATAGATCAGTATATAGTGTTTGATTATGTAAAAAAATACAACTTTGTGACGGTGTTTAAATTTTCATGACTTTTAACAATCATCAGCCATATTTATTCTTTAAATCAAGGAAAAACCCAAATGTATATATATATATATATATATATATATATATATATATATATATATATATATATATATATATATATATATATATATATATATATATATATATATATATATATATATATATATATATATATATATAAATCTATATATAAATATATATAAAAAAATAATCTATATATAAATATAAACTTGTATGCACTTCACAAGGGCAAGATTTGTTGGTGAAAATGATACTCATGCTCATCTGTCTGTTTTACAGGTTTTAAATATTTCATATCAGCTACAAGTTTACAACAAGTACCGTCAACAAGGTTGACTATGAATAGCAGGTTGGAAATGAACATCAGTACCAAGTTTGCTAAAAGGTGAAAAAGCACACGCAATAGAACTATTTATTGTGTTACTTTGATTCAGTTGCAAAACTGAGGTGATAAAACATCTTCGAGGAAAAAATAAAAGAATCTGGTCATGAAGACAATTGTTCTTAACAATTTTATTTTACATATTCTTAAGAACAATCTAAGGATAAGTACAAATCCATTTACAAAACAAATCTATTGATAATCTAAAAAATAAAAACATTATAAAGTGTCAATGTCACACTAAATAGGCGAATAATTACTCTCACACCATTTTAAAAATATGATTATGATCATATAAAAAAAAAGATAATTACAAATAAAATTAAGATAATAAAGTAAAATTGGTAATGTTATGTTCTAAGTTAAGGATTGAGGCAAAATATTTTTAAAAAATGAGTTGCTCCTTTGGCTAAGGTGGTCACTGGGGCAATAGGGAGATGAATTTTTGAAATTAAAAGAAAATTTTCTGTACACATACAATTACAAAAATTTGGTATTTTGATTGGTTTTTAAAAAAACCCAAAAAAACCTATAAAACCCCAAAATCCCAATAAAACCCAAAAAAAAAACCATTTGGGAGGGTTTTTTAAAAAATCCTGGATTTTTTCTATCACTGAGAACACCTTTTTATAAAATATATACTATCCCATCATCTTTTTATAAATCTCTATTTATAACAATGGTTAGGCGGGATGGTATTTTTAATTTACCGAATTTACCTGTTACTTTTTTTCTCCACTTTAGCAGTGTATATAAACAATCATTTTTCTAAATATGCACAAATATTTAATTGCAAATATTTAAAATTTAACAAATATTTAAAGTTTAATTTTATTGTTTTATTGTTGTTTACTTGTTAATTTTAAGGCTGCAAAGTTATCAGATGTCATAAAAGAGATTTGTTTAAAGTAAGCTTTTTTTTAAGCTTTTATTTTAAATAACAATGCTTTCTTACCATAAATAAATAATAACTACTGTGGAACTTTACAGTTTTTACATCATTGTATACATTTTTTACATTTTTTACATCATTATATAACTTAAAAGGTATATAACATGTGTTTTTGTATTATTTATATGTAAAAGTACATCTTATACAAGTTTTTCTTTATTGAATAAAATGTCAATACCTAATTATTAATTTTTAAATTACACTCTAAAATTCACAAAAATTTTTCGTGAATTTCTGTGAATTCTAGTTTTTTGGTTCATTTTTAAAATCCAGTATTAAAATTTTTAAAAGTAGTAAAATACAACTCATTATCAATGACAAGTTTTTTATGCTCTAAATATTTATCAGTACAATCAGGAATATGTTTTGTCTTTAAATAACAAAAGTTTGTTTTATTTTTTAATGTTTTCATGATGTCGGAGTGAATTTTTTTCCTGAGTTTGTTTTTTTTATGTGCAATTTCAGACTGGTTGTTAAGAGTTCTTTCAGACGATTGATGTTTCTATCAGTCATAATTTTTAGTTTTCTGCCTGATCCAAACTTACGAGACATTAATTCCTTGTTTTTCCATTTAACCACATAACGTTTGATAGTTTTTTTAAGGGAACAAAATACTATACAATGTTTTTAGTTTTAGTATTACAATGCAATTAAAGTAGTCAGTAACCCTTTGCAATTTTTTTTAACTAAACTAAACTAGATAAACAAAAATTTAATTAAAAAAAACACTTTATAAGCAAAACAACCCTGGCAGCTTGTAAATAATCCATTTTTTGACATAATTTGTTTTTAAAATTGATTATACCTTTTTTATTTTTCTGTTTATGTTAAAATAGAAATATTAACTGTAGTTTTAAAAAAATCAATAAACAGTTTCGATAAACAAATGTTATTGTTAAGAGACAGTATGTTTTTTGGAATATATTTTTATTTTTAAGTTTAGTATTTTCATGAGTTTACTATAAATACTAATTATGATTTTACAAGGAATTAAAGTTTCAAAGTTTTGAAGATTTTATTTTTTGAATCATAGTCAGTGAAGTCTTTAATTTATAAAAATTTGAATTTGCTGACCAAAAGTTGGCTTAATGTAAGAAAAAAATAATATTAAAAAGCAAAGTTAAGTGTTTTTTTTTACTGTTTTCACCTTCCCAAGGCTTAAGGGGCCATTACAGTTGAAAAATTTTGAATAAAAAATTTTTTTTAATTAATTTTTTTTTTTAATTTAATATTCTTGTTACATTTTTTTTTTCAATCCAACATGTCTTGATGATTCAACCCAACATGTCTCAATGAGCAGGACACCTGTGTAAAGAAACAAGTCAAGCCTTTAATTTATTGGGGATTGAGCTTGGTACTTCTTGCTTAATGAGTGAGAGCATTACTATTACACTTTCACTTGTTATACTTGTTATAAGTTACAGTTTTAACTAGTATATATACCTGTTATAAGTTTTATTTTTTATTTTTTAAATTTTTTTTTTTTTAATTATTACAAAAATTTGTTAAGTAAAAATAACAGTAGTATAAGGTAAATAAAGTAATATGGACAAAAACAAATTTAAAAAAACAAACATCTTCTTTTAAATATACGGGCTTGACACATATAAAATAATACTAAAATATATATATATAAAATATATATATAATATATATATATAAAATATATATATAAAATATATATATAAAATAATGCTAAAATAGTTGCTAGGATTTGAATGTCGTTCTTCATGCTTGAATGGCTTTGATTAAGGAACATTTTTTTCTTGTTATGTTTTTACTAAAGGTTACTACTTTTGATAACTAGTTTTGATTTTAAAACTTTCTCGTAATATTATATAAAATTATATCCAAAGATCTATAGAAACATGTAATTTTTTGAAATGTCCTGGAGTTATTTAAAACAAAAAATTATTCAGTAATGAAGAATAATTTTTTTGTTAATAAAAAAATTAATAGTGGTAGAACTTAAATTTTAAAATGATCAAGTAAGTAAGTGCAAGTTCTTCAAATTTGGTATTCATAATCAATGAATTCTAAATTTACATTTTTTATTTTTACTCTTTTCTACCATTTTAAAGATTTAAAAACCATTTTAATATAAAATTTTAATATAATATTTTAAAGATACATTTAATATAAAATGTATTTCATTTTAAAGATACATTTAATATAAAATGTATTTCATTTTAAAGATACATTTAATATAAAATGTATTTTATTTTAAAGATACATTTAATATAAAATGTATTTCATTTTAAAGATACATTTAATATAAAATGTATTTCATTTTAAAGATACATTTAATATAAAATGTATTTCATTTTAAAGATACATTTAATATAAAATGTATTTTATTTTAAAGATACATTTAATATAAAATGTATTTCATTTTAAAGATACATTTAATATAAAATGTATTTCATTTTAAAGATACATTTAATATAAAATGTATTTCATTTTAAAGATACATTTAATATAAAATGTATTTCATTTTAAAGATACATTTAATATAAAATGTATTTCATTTTAAAGATACATTTAATATAAAATGTATTTCATTTTAAAGATACAGAACAATATTTTCTACCTAAAAATATGAAACTTTTAAAGACTCCAAAAATTATTCCAATTTTTCTGGGGCAAGTTTAATTACAAAAATGCAGATGTAGCTCAATTATTTTTCTTTTTTCTTTTCAATATCATCCTGAATAGTTTAGTTAGAGTTGTAAAAAGTAAAAAAATAGTTTAAAAAATAGTTTAGTTAGAGTTGTAAAAAATTGGAGAGAGATTTTTATTATTCATTTTTTTTTTGGTCTTTTCTTAAACAAAAAAAAAAAACATGAGCAAACTTACTTTAATTTGTTACTAAAACAGGAATTATAGGAGTTAGGGAAAAAAAAGTTACTCTTAAGTGCTTAATACACAGAAGTTGATGTTTAATAATTTTACAAAAATTTTTCCACCAACCCTGGGCTTATTAAGATCCCCTGTTAAAAAATTTTAGGGATGTGGAGTCCAAAAAAGGAATCCAGTTTGAAAGTCACAAAAAGATTACTTCTTCCTAGTTTTTAGTATCCAGGAGCTCTAAAAATATAAAGATGCTTATGGAATACTAATAGGAAAAAAATTAAAATTTTTAGTTTTTGAACTCCTAGTCCTAAGGTATAATGGTGGCAAGGACTTTGGGACTCTGGGCTTAAAAATAATAAGATAATAAGTCATTAAATCTTATTAATTTTTTTCTTTTCGCTGATCATAAGTCAACCAACATGTTTAGAGCTTCTGGACATCAGACAAAATAGAGATATAAAGCCATAGTCCTTTTGGGACTCTGCATCCCTGATTTTACTTGTTATGACAAAGGAATTATCTCAAAACTAAAAAAAAAATAAAATTTTTAGTTATCATTTTATAATTTTTGAGACCAGTTTAGGACTTAAATTTAGAAAATATAAACTCACTTAAAGAAATAAAAATAAAAAATTCCAAACCAAAAACTTGATTTGTTTATTGATTATAAGAATTCAACTAGTTTATTAGGTAAAATTTTTTTCACTAAAAACTTTAGTTTTTTAATAGTATATGCGAAAAAAATTAATTTATACGAATTTCAAGTTTTATACATTTCAAGTTTTGAATAATGATGCTTAGATAAAGCACATTCAGGTTTTAAATTTTTGTAATGTAAGTTAAAACTACTTGTGTTTATTAAAGTTCCTGGTTCTTTCTCTTAAAGATTTTATTGCATTCAAAATAAACAATATTGTTTTTATGCAACTCGTATTTAATTAATAATTTTGTTTTAGTAAACAAATTGTTTGTAATTGCAATCAAAGTGGTTGTCCATAAAGTAGGTCATCCTATATTTGTAAACCCTATCCCTCTTGTCACAAATGATCACATATATCTGTATCCCCCTATACCTCATAAACTTTGATAGCAGTTTTTAAGTCAAAAATGTTTTAAAAGATTTAAATGTAAACACTTTCCAGCATTTTGAAAATTCAACCTAATGAAATTAAGGCATTAGGCATAAACATAAGAAGTGTAAGTAAAATTTTTGACGAACTAAAAGATTTTCTTATTTAAATGAATTAATAAGTAATAATAAAGTTGTCATTCTAAAGTAATTTATTAAAGTTGCTTTTGGCCTTGCAGGAAAAACTGTTTTCAGTATGATTACTTTCATAAATGTTATGAAAAATCACTCAGGAAGAGTGTCACCAGTTTTTATAAAGTTGCTTTTAATTACTTTTGATGAATGCGTTCACTTTTGTAATTGTTTTGTTACGTAATTCTAACTCTTAATAATTGATATAAAAAATCCACAATAATAATTGCTCGGTAACATAAGCAATGTAATGTAAGTTAAGTACATAGTATCAAAAAAACAAGTTCCTTAGCCACCTCTGATTAATTTTTTAATATTTTTAAAATTGGAATTCTCAACATCTTGTGAAAATTTCCAATACGCTCTTTACTAATTTGCAGAAATTTGATCAAAAAGTTGAAACTATTGTTTTACCGTGTTTTCTGCGTAATGTAATTTAAGTGGCATTTTCAGTAATAAGTTCGCTGTCTTTTGGTCATACTGAAAACTGTTTAGCTTATTTTATTCTTCAGACTAACACCTTTAACACATAGTTACTAACAGTTTAAATTACAGTTTAAATAGGCAAATGTTTGATAAAGTTGTTGAACATGTAACGTAAGTTAAAAATGGAATTGCCCGTATATATACAAATATAATAGATAATAAAAAAACAAGGAAGGAAGTTTTAATAAGCTCAGGGTGGGTAGGAAAATTTTCCGAATATTGTAAAATATCAACTTCTATGTATTAAACACTTAAGAGTACCACATTTTTTTCCTTTTATTTTTCATAATATCTGTTTTATGAGTAACAAATTAAAGTAAATTTGACCAATGCTTTTACTGTTTATGAAAAGACCACTCTCCAATTCTTTGTAATAACAAGACAACATTACAAAAAAAAATCTGAGCTACATTAGCATTTTTGTAACTAAACTCTCCGAAATTACAACAGAGGTCAAAATTAGAGATTTATTTTTAAATATTTTAAGTTGTTTTATTGGATTTCTTGCCTCAAAATATGTAAGTGTACATATTTTTAGTATTTTATTGCACACAGAACAGAAGCAAAGACTAAAACCATTTTTCAAAGCGGCAGATTTTTCAGATTTTTGTTGGTTCAATGTAAAGTTTGAATAGTCGTATCATTGAAACCATTTTTGAAACCAATTAGATGATAATAATTATAATTAGATGATAATAATTAGATGATAATAATTATAATTTTATGATGTTAATTTATATAATTTTGATGTTAATTTATAAATAGATGATAACATTTTGGGAATGTTTATAGCTGATTAAAATTTTTGAGTGGCGTAGAAATTAGCAACATCTGAGACTTAGGGTTGCATATCCTTGATGTTTTCACATGGAATTGCCTTTAAATTTATGACATCAAATAGAAATATAGTTGTTAATTAATATTTCAAGCATAAATTTTTGAAAATTTTGTATGATGTAATTAAGTCTTGCTTTGGATGACAAAGCAAACAACAGTTTCGAAAAAAAAACAAAAAAAAAAACAGTTTCTAACAGTTTCAAATCAAGTAGTTTAAGTATATTGAAATCAAAAACGTTATTTAAATTAGCTAATTAATTGTCTTCTGTTTTTTGACTGTGGTAATTAGTTCAGTGCAGTGACTAGAGTGAAGAAACCATGACTTTTGAAACACTTAAATATTAAATGTTTGAATGTTTGCTGCACAGGTAATATTTGCTAAATAATTTTTTATAATATAAAACAGAATCTCAAGTTAGTTCCAGGTTTTTTGGATTTGTAGACCAATTTAAATTATGAGCTCCTAATTTAAAATTGTAGTTTGTGTCTTTACTAAATGAAGCAGTTCTAAGTGTAGAACTTAGTAGTAGCTACAAAATGAAGCAGTTCTAAGTGTAGAACATAATAGTAGTTGCTGCTAGCAATATTTAACTACTACTTTTTTGACCACAAGAAAACTTTGTTGATGACAGTTTGTTGATGACAAATCATTTATCATTGATCAAATACCAACCACAACTTTTATTAAGCCAGAATAAATGCTCAGGTGTCAAATTTTAATTATAAGCCAAGGCATGTCCCTATAGAATCAGTTAAAAAATAACAGTATAAATAACAATAATATAATATTTTTCTTTTAAAAGAAAAATGAAATTACATATTCTTAACTCAGCAGATATTATAATTGCCATTACCTAAAAATTTATATACTTCTATTAGGGTATCCCAAAAAACAATATTTTCGAAAAATATATTCTGCCACCCCCTAATGTGTTCTATATGATAAAAACTCTGGATTTAAATTTTTTTTTAAATTAATAACCATATTATACCATTGTTAGTATTTTTATATGTTAGTTATAATATAATATTAATGTTATTACACATTATTGATATAATATTGTTTTAAATTATAGTTATAGTATGTTTTACTACTGTGATCAAAAAGTAAGGTGAATTTTTAATTTAAACTTCCCGCCTTATTCGATTCGTCCAATCTTTTTTATTTTTAAGTTGGTAGGAATGTCATTAACATTTGCGCCAAATTACATGTCAAACTCATAATTATTTTTTTTTGTTTACGCATGTTTCTGAAGTACCAAAAGTGCATTCGGCGATTTTCATGATGTCTAATTTTGTTGAGCAGAGAAGTGCTATTAGATTTTGTTTGCGGAATGATATTTCTGTTGCTGAAACGTATCGAATGTTGCAAAAGGCCTTCGGTGAAGAGACTATGTCTCAAAAAAATGTTTACAAGTGGTACAAAGACTTCAAAGAAGGCTGAGAACGTGTTGATGACTTGGAGCGCTCCGGACAACCATCGACTTCGATTGATGATCGCCACATCAACAAAATCAAAGAATTGGTGCTTGCAAATCGTCGGTTAACCATTCGAGACCTTGTTGACATGGTTGGAATATAATTTGGGTCGGTGCAAGCGATTTTGAAGGATCATTTGGGCCTCAGAAGACTCAAATCACGTTTGGTGCCGAAATTTCTCAATTTCTTTGAAAAAGAGCGTCGCGTTAAAGCGTGTGAAGCAATGCTTTCTGACTATCAAGACGTCTACAAACAAATTATTACTGGCAATGAGACTTGGGTCTACGCATACGACCTTGAAACAACCGACCAATCGAGTGAATACCGTGAAAAGGCGAGTCGAGACCGAAGCAACCACGTCAAAGTCGCTCAAAAATCAAGGTCATGTTGACTGTTTTCTTTGATTATTGTGGTGTGATGCACTACGAATTCCTTCCAACTGGCAAAACTGTCAACAAGGAATATTATTTAAGCGTTATGCGACGTTTGCGTGAAGCTATTCGCAAAAAGAGACCGGAATTATGGGCCAATAACTCTTGGATTTTGCACCACGATAATGCGCCTTCGCACACAGCACTGGTTCTTCGTGAGGTATTTCGCCAAAAACTCTACCCATGTTGCTCCACAACCACCGTATTCGCCCGACTTAGCACCGTGTGACTTCTGGCTGTTCCCAAAGCTCAAGAGACCACTCCGGGGAAATCGTTTTGAGTCCATTGAAGAGATCCAACGTGAATCGGCACGCGCATTGAAGGCTATCCCTACCGAGGACTTTTCGGCATGCTTCGAAGTCTGGAAAAAACGTTGGCAAAAGTGCATTGGGGCCAGAGGGGATTATTTTGAGGGGGACGATACAGATTTGGAAGAATAAATAAAGATTTTTCATTTTATAAAAAAATTCACCTTACTTTTTGATCACAGTAGTAAATTATAATTGTTTGTTTTAAATTATAATATATTGTTGTATGTTAATAAATATCATTTATAACTATTGTTTCATATTGTTTATGTTATAGTATTAGTTTAGTGTTAATATATATGAAGTTTTTACAAATTAAATCTGACAAATTTATTTTACATGTTTAAAGTAATTATTATTAACTTAATTTTTTGTGAATTTTTGAATAATTGCAATTCAGTGATTCAGTTAATTAATAATTTGATTACTATACCTTAACATGTTAATAATAATTCAACAAGATAATAATAATTTATTATACTAATTTTTATTTGATATGTATTATAAGGCTTGGTTAATAAATAATTCAAATGTTAATTTAGATGGACGATTACATCAAAGTTTGATCAACATTCTTTGCAGTATCTTGATTCTAAAATATATATTACAGAGGAGGTTTTTTATTATTTATTTTTGTTTTTATTTTTTTTTTATTATAGAGGAGGTTTTTTGTTATATATTTATTTTTGTTTTAATGTAATTGTTTAATCAAACTGTTTGTAATTAATAATTCTGAATGAATTAAAAAAGTTAAAAATTTTTTTTTTCAATCTATTAATTTTTTTATAATCTTTTATTTATGTTTTATCAAAACATGATGAAAACTTAAATATGACAACCGTATTCCATATAGGGACAAATAATAGATTTAAAGAAGTAGAAAATGAAATCAGAATCAGTCCACTGGTATTCTGATACAACCAAAAATACTATAAAGCTAAAACTTAGCACAAGTGAACATAAACGTATAATTCTTAACTAAAAAAAAAATTTTAAACCTAATTTTAAGGGAGTAAAAATTTTTATAGTCAATAAAATATATATTCATATATATTGTTGAAAAGATAATTTAATGGTGTTTCATATTTAATGGTGTTTCATAATATTGATAATGTTTATAGTAAATGTTTCATATTTTTATAAAAATATATTCATATATATTGTTGAAAAGATAATTTAATGGTGTTTCATATTTAATGGTGTTTCATAATATTGATAATGTTTATAGTAAATGTTTCATATTTTTATAAAAACCACAGCTTGAAAATAAATATTAAATATGATTACTTTTAAATATGATTACTTTTAAATATGATTATCTTGTTACTTTAATTAAAAGAATATGGTTAGTCATGTCAATGAAACAAATTATAAATAACACAAAAAATTATTTTTAAAAACTTCAGAATTTATTTTTTTATATTTAGTGCTTTTTTTTTTTATAAAAACATGCAATCTAAAATTATGTTATTTAAAACAACAAGGTTGACTTTTGAGTAAAAAACTAATAAAATCTGAGAATATGTTTTTAACATCTGCTTCATCAAAATATTAAAATCTGCTTCATGGTATGAAATCTGCAGGCTTTTTTAAATTTTCAGACTGCAGACTTTATTTAAATAATAGCAGACTGTTTGAAGTATTTGATTTAATGTGATAAAGAATCTAACACCACTACTGAGTAAAAAGGTTATCAGGTATCACTTTATATTATAGTATCTCTAACTCCATTTGGAATTCAAGACCTAGATCAATAATTATTGGTCTTGGCCTTTAAGCTTGCATGATAAATTCCCCAATACTTTTATGTTTTAGTTTGGATAGAATTAGCAATTAAGATATTTAAAACCCATGTATTTGGATTATTTTAGCAATTGATTGTGTGTATATTTTTTGCATTCTTTATTTTATTAATAAGAGAAGATACCATTTTTTCAAAAAAAGCCACATCTGCTTGACCTTTTATATTTCAGCAAAGAATATGTGGTTACTCTGGTGAACCTCTCTAAGAGCTATTCCAGATTATGGGAAGCATTACAATCAGTTGGCCTTAGAACAATTAAACTTAGTTTTTAAACTGTGCCTCGGTTAGGAGAAAACAGACCAACAGTTTACTGCAATAAGTTACTGGAACATTGTAGGAACATATTGTTATAATAAATTAGTAGATCAGTTTGCTGGAACAAATTATTGCAATAATAATGGAAAAAATTACTGGAAACTCTAAAATTTTTGCAATTGCTTAAAAAATCTAAAAACTGAACTATTTATGGAAATGTTGGTTTAGCAGTAGATGTTGGTCCAGCAATGGATTTGAAGGTAAGGTAGAAAAAGGAACACATACAGATATAGATAACTTAGTAGATACTTAAAAAAAAATTAATGTATAATAAATATGAAATTTTGTTAAAAAATACAAATACAATTGAATAAGAAAATCAGCTACATATTAAATATAAGGGAAAAAGAGAAAGTATAATGAAGAATTCATCCAGTTAAGTAGCATACTAAAGACACCATAATCTTTTATAAACTTATGTACTGCAGCCTCTTGCCATTAAATATGAGATCTGATAGGCAATAAATTGGTAGCAATTAATTTATTTATAACAAATCCATGTTATTTTTGAGCTAAAAGATTAACTGCAGATTGATACCCTTTTAAACAATGCTGTTGTGGCAGCAGTTGAGTTGAACATAAAGGTTAAAGATTGTAACTGTAGATTTATTTGATAACACTCATAACACAGATAACACTGATTAACATGATAACACTGATAACGCAGATAACACTGATTAACATGATAACACTGGCTTTAACAACATTTTACTTTTTGATACATTCTTCTCATATTTGTAATATTTTACTCTTTCATTTAGGTTTAATTTTATTTTTTAGCTGTAACTTTTTTAACTTTTTTGTGTTTTTATATTGATTGATGAGTTTTGGAATGCCATTATTTAGCATTAAGATAACTTATAACAAAGAGAAAAACTGGTATATCAAAAACTGATAGATCAGTTTTCAATATGTCAGTTTTCCTGGCCAATTATGGGGTTTTTTTACATTACTGACTCCAGCCAACTAGCAGGGTCTTTGATCTTTGCTTCTGTAATCAAGTTTCTTTTTCTTTTTCTGAGAATTAGGTTTAGAAAACTTTTTCTAATATTTCAGTTTTTTAAAGTTTTTAAAAGTTTGCTAAGATATAAAAAACAGATTCTTAGAATGGCATGAAGATTCTATGGTATTATTGAAAGTTTGAATGAATTTATTCTTTTTTTTTTTCACACAAAGAACTAAAAATAAAATTTATTTATAACCAACTAAAACTTGTTAAGTTTCAAGATAAGATGAACACCAAATGTAATTCTATATTGTTGTGTGTGACTCACAACTGCAGATGGTGAATCAAAAGTTATTTTTTTTCTCTCTGTTTTAATTTTTCTTTTCTTTCTATTTTGTTGATCACTGTTGAACATTTTAAACATAATAGTTTTAATTGTCTTTGTTTAGTAGGAGTTTTATCTACACTGATGTGGATGCTGTTTTGAGTCTTTTTAATTTTTATCTTGCTAACAGATTATGGGCAACTTGACACTTTATCTAGTTTTTTTTTTTGAATGATAAGTTTTATGTTTTTTGCAATAGAAACATTTTTACATAATAAAAAAGAAGAATTGTGTTTCTTTATGTTATGTTCTTTGAAACTCTAATAGCAATATGTTCTCTAAAGCATCTGATACCAATATTATTTCAATTAAAATTTAATTTGTTTAAGAGTGATGTTACCAGTTTTTTGGAAAGTTCAATAGGGTCATTGACTATTGGAAAAAATGATGTTTGGGTGCAAAAAATAACAGTTTTTTTTACACTTATTACAAGAATTTGTAACATTAATGTTACAAGAATATATACTTAAGAAACGTCATTTATTGCGTCTGATTAAATTCTTTAGACGAGTGTTGTAGAATAGAATGCAGGCATTTTAATAATTTTTACAACAATTAGAAATTCCACAATAAAAATGAATAATATATTAAAGAAATTAATACATAAAATATATAATTCATTTCATAAAATAAAAATTTATATACAATAATTTAGAGTTGCCCCACTTTGTGAAAGGTCACTTCAGTGTTGGTTGGTGAACAGCAAGTGTTTATTTGTTTTTTTTTAATAACGTAGGAGCATTTTGTGGACTGCATGCATTTAGGCAGTCTCTCTTATGTGCCTACATGCAGCAGTTCACTCATTTTAAATTTAAGATCTTCTTTGCTATGATTAGCCAATAAAAATGGTTTAACAAATCTAACAATTCTTCCTGCACAAGGTTTTCCAACTCATTTTTTAACTATATCATCTTTGCAGAACATTTGAGAAAATGTTGGATGTGTGAGTAAAATTTGCCCTCTATGATGCTTCAAAATAATGTTGCGTTATGCTGGAGCACAATGGCACAATAAATAAAGAATGTATTAAATTGTAGTAATAATTACTTTTTCTGTAAAAATTAAAAAAAAAATTTCTTTAAATATTTTTAATAATCTTTAAAATTGTTACAACCCATGGGAATTCAATTTAATGAATTCCCTCAATTACTAAAATTTAATCAAAAAAATCTGTATTCTTAAATATACTGAATTCTTATTTGATCAATTTACTTACCTCATTATAATATATACACACATAAAAAATTAGCCTTATTACATTATACAGAAGTGTTATATTTTCTTCTTTTTTTGTGTTATACTTTTCTTCATTTGCTCACTCAGAATCAATAATGTCTCCACAAACAATATTTGAGCGTAACACTCTGCTAGCATTAACACTATTTACCTTCTTTAGATCAATCAGGTCAGAATGATCAAATAGGGTCTGTTGTTATTAGCAATATAAAACGCTGTTTTAAACGCATGTTCAGTTGTGTCTAATTCAGCTTGATTACCTTTTGTGAAAATTGCTTTCAAATGCTCACCTTTTCTGAGTTCGAAAAGTTTGCAAGCCAGGCTTTGGGTTTAAAACTTTGTGTTTAATTTTTTTTTAATGTTCTTTTGGTGAAACTCAGGAATGCAGTTCCTGATTTTCACCACAAGGCATTATAAATCCATTATAGCTCCATTATGGATTCATATGCAATTCGTTCAAATAAATTTCTGGACTCATTATAATTGCAAACAGAGCATTCAAAATTGCTGTGGATGCATAATTAAAAATTTATTTTTCAGCCTTTAATTCACTATATTGTTTGTTGAGGCTGAGGCTGCTTAAATAAGTGTTGAGGCTTCATTGGTATGATCAAATTCATTGGTATACTAAGTGATTATGAACAATTTGTTGGTAAAGTGCTAGTAAAAATGGCAACATATAATGAAGACACATGATCTGTATCTTGACGTATCAATGACAACATATCAATGACAACACGATAACATCTTTACAATGTTCAACATTTAGAAAAAACAAAACAAAAAAGACAAAGTATAAAAACAAAACATAAACAAATAAAAAAGTTTGTTAATTTTTTTACTTGTTTATGTTTTGTAGCAATTTACAGAAATGATGTTGTATTCAAACAATAAATCAATCATATTCTGAAAACATTGTTTTAATGATATTTAAATATCACTAAATTGGCCGGATTAAGCCTCAAACCTCTTGCTTGTAAGCTGTAGACTAGAATGATTTTTTAAATGCTTTAGCTTTGTTTTAACATTTTTTTTTGTAATGATTTTTACTTTTATACCTGATAAAGATCACAGTAGATCACATGATCAATCACATTATTAACAAAATATTGACACAATAGAATCATAAAATGTTAAAATTAAATTTTTTTTTGATGTATTGTTTATTTTTGTAAAAGTTGTTTTTAGTTGTATTGAGTTATTAGTAAAAGTTAACAAATGACATATTTATAATAATTTATAATAACAAATGACATATTTATAATAAACATAAAAAATTGTAAAAATTTTGTATACTTATTTATAATGTTATTTTATCATAGAATCGTGCTGATATTCATGATGGTGATATTCTTACATTAAACTGGAATGTTGTAAGTTGTTATAAGACTTGTAATCATTTATTTTGATATTTATGTAAAGTTTTATTTAACAATTTAAACAGTTTTTTATTAATATAAATTTTCAATCAACTCTTTTGAGTTTTGAAAATTTTTTACTAAAGATTCAATTTTTCAATTTTTACTAAAAATTTTATTTTTGAAGATTTTTTACAAAGATTTAATTTTTCAAGATTTTTTTAATTCTAAATTACAAATCTTAGTTGATACTAACATGATTAGCAAATCTTAGTTGACATGAACACGGTTAACAAATCTTAGTTGACACGAACATGACAATCTTAATTGACATAAATAACATAGTTAACATCCTCCTTGAATTTAATGTTGGCAAATAAAATTTATTTGCAATTACAGAAATAAAATTAAAAAACAAAACATTAGAGTAAAGAAATCAAAATTTTTACTATAGCATAATTTACTATATAATATATATATTTACTATATAGACTCCATACCTTTGAATTTTACTATGTAAATATTTTTTTCACAGTTTATTTTTTTAATTTTAATTCACCTCCACAAGACCATGAAGCCACTAAAAAGCCTTGGATTTGAATCTAAAGTATTAAATTGGTCTAGAGACTTCTTAAAAAATAGATCGCAGAGAGTGGTATTAGGTAGTTTTGAATCAGAATGGGGGGATCTTGTAAGCGGTACTTTTAGGTCCTTTTTTATTTGTTGTATTTATTTGTTGTAAAAATCAATGCGCTCAACTTGTTTTTCGGCACAACAGCCTTGTTTGTCAAGATTTGTGTTTAAGAAGTTTTTTAAGAAGTCATGTTCATTTGTCATTTTTCATGTTCATGTCAACTAAGATTTGTTAGAGTTGATTTAAAGAGTTGAGAGAAGGTTGTAAGAAAGTTGTAACCACAACTTTAGTAGCCTCCTCAACTGTAGTGGCTTCATGGTCTTGGGCAGGTGAATTCAAATACAAAAAAAAACTGTGAAAAAATATTTGCATAGTAAAATTCAAAGGTATGGAGTCTATATAGTAAATATATAATAAATAGTATATAGTAAATTATGCTATAGTAAAAATTTTGATTTCTTTACTCTAATGTTTTGTTTTTTAATTTTATTTCTCTAATTGCAAATAAATTTTATTTTGCAAATGAATTTTATTTGCCAACATTAAATTCAAGGAGTAGAAATTATAAATATAAATATAAATATGTCTTATATTTTCAAAATCTATTGAATAATTAGATATAAATCTATCTAATTATATCATTGATTTTGAAAAACTGTTTTGGTTTAAGATTATGAACTAAAAATTTAGTACTTTTGAAAATGTAAAAAACATCACAACTTTTTAATAGAAAATTCCTTTTATTAAATCATTTATAAAGTTTAGAAATTCAGAAAATTTTAATTGGGTATCATCATTGAATACAGTACATATATACATTGGGTATATATGTACTGTATATCTTATATCATTTGGTAAATAATAATAAAAAATTTGATATTTGAGTCAGTTACTGATGAAATGTTATGAAAAAAGTTATTCTTGTTAAGTTATAAACTTTGATGTAATCAAAAAAAAAATCTTTAAAGAGAAAAATTGAAAAGATTTTAATAACAAGGAAATACATTTTGAAATTTTTTTTTTATCACTATTCTTATCGCTTTCCTATCATAGCAAATCTTATCACTAATATTTAAGTTTTATTGCTTAATCTTTAAGTTTTATTGCTTAATCTTTAAATTTTATTGCTTAATCTTTAAGTTTTATTGCTTAATCTTTAAGTTTTATTGCTTAATCTTTAAGGTAAGAAATTTTTAGGAATGTATGACTAGTTTCTTTTTAGTGTTTTTTTAATTTGAAAACGTTTTGGTTGTACAATTGACACTTTTAGATATGTAATATATGATTAATTAAAACATTTAAATTTTTTTTAGAAAAGTGTAAACTCTAAATTATTTTATATTCATACTTTCATATTTTACATTTTGTTTATTATTACATATTTTATATTCATACTTATTTTATATTCATACTTTTTTATATTCATTTTATATTTATCCTTTTTGCTTGTAATCTTTAGTGAAACAGCACACTTTCTTATTATGTCTTTTAAATACGAGCGTAAATACTATAATTTTTATGATTTTTTTTGAGCTTTTTTTGAGCTTTTTTGTTTTGTATTCTATCAATGTATTGACATAGCACAAGTAGTAATAATGTAATATTATATCTTTTAAAAATGATTATTAGGTTTAGAAGTCACAGTTCAAGCACACAAGTTTTATATTCTTATTGATGGGAAAGATAAAAAATGATTTAAAAATAGGATTTTTATTTTGTAGTGATAAAGCTTTAAAAATGTGTAAAAGCATCTAAACTTCATAGAGGAAATAAACAGAATATTAGAATCTTTTATTTATGAACTCTTGAGTTTTTTAAAAATAATCTTTTCGTCTCCTTTTTTTTCTCTCTTGAGCTCAGAAGTTTTTCTTAAACATTTGTTATGCTTCAAAATTTAAGAAGTTAAAAATAATGAGTATTTTAAACTTTAGGAGAGTGATTGTAGATTTGAGTACCTCGTGATTTTCATGTTAAAATAAACATAAATGCTCAGATATGGGATGTTATGAAAAATCCGAGATGAGCAGTTCACAATATTAAACAACTGTATATTGTAAAATATGAATGATACAACTTTTAAAAGTAAATATACAATAGACTTGTTTGTAATAGATATCATTACAAGCATCATCAGTATGATGTCATTTGAAACATCATTGGTATGAATCAATGATTGCTTTGTTTTAAAATATTTTTAAATTTTACCTATTATTTTTCAAGTTTTTCTGATTTATAAGACAAAAACTCAATTAGAACAACTGTAGATAACTCCTGGTAACTATAACAACTATATACAACTACAGGTAACTATAAAACTATATACAACTACAGGTAACTATAACAACTGTAGATAACTATAGGTAACTATAACAACCGTAGATATCTACAGGTAATTATAAGTATAAGGTTAACTTAAGTGAGGCAAAGAACATTAGGATTAAACTTAGAAGCAAATTAAAGTTTTTCAAATAGTACATTTTTTAAAAAACATTAAAAAGTTATTTCTTTTATTATTAATAGGAGCTTTCAGCATCAAAGTTTCTTTTGGATATTGAACAACCAGATTCAGAGATTAAAAGAATGGCATTAGATCAGCTGGCAGGTGTTGATTGTGCAGGTCAAGCTGAAGATCCTTTGTTTGCCAATGAATTTATAAATAGAAACGGAGTAAATGCATTGGTTAAAATAATAGAAAGTGATACTGAGTAAGTTTAAGTTATTATCTTAAGTTTTTACCTTTGCACTGTGGGCCAAGATCGACATAAATGGACAAAAAATCATAACTCCTTTATTTTCAAAGTTGTCAAATTGAAATTTTTATGAGAGTGACTCTCATAAAAATTTCTACTACTAGTGACTAGTCATCATGAAGATCTTTTTTTTAAAAAAAATAGTTATTTTTTTGCAAATGCAGGCACCTTAAACACCATAATAAAAAAGGGTGTATAGGGCGTTAGGGATTTTAGACAAAACTTTTGGTTGTTATTAGAAACAGTTTTCCCAGATACAAAGCATTGATTAATTAGAATGTTTGTTACGTGTGACACCCCTTTTTTTGTAAACAAAGAAACATTTATTAGATAATTTATTTATTAGATATTTTATTTATTAGATATTTATTTATTAGATATTTATTTATTAGATATTTATTTATTAGATATTTATTTATTAGATATTTATTTATTAGATATTTATTTATTAGATATTTATTTGTTAGATATTTATTTATTAGATATTTATTTATTAGATATTTATTTATTAGATATTTATTTATTAGATATTTATTTATTAGATATTTATTTATTAACTATTATTTATTAGATATTTATTTATTAGATATTTATTTATTAGATATTTATATATTAGATATTTGTTTATTAGATAATTTATTTATTAGATATTTATTTATTAGATATTTATTTATTGAAAAAAAGTTACAGTAAAAGTTTAAATCTTTGTTTCAAATTCTTTAATACATCTCGAATTTCTTCTTAGAGAGCTAATAATGGAATCTGAACTGCACAAAAATCTTCCCATAACATTATTATTAGTGACTATTCTTGAATATTTTCTCAAATTTTGTTTTCTATAATTTTTAACATCTTTATTTCAACATTCCTGAGCTTCCACAGAAAAAAGACCTACTGGTACTGGTTTATCTTTTACAACTTGAGAACTATGAATTAGAATTTTATGTACAATTACAGTCATTGAGAACCATGGGTACAGAAAAACTTAGAGCTCTGCTGATTCGTTAGTATATTTTTCAAGTTCATCAGCGTTAATTAGATGTCATGCACGATAAAACACAAAGAACTATGAAGAAACGTTTCATTAGATATTTATATGAGCCAAGTATTTCAGCAGACATTTGGAATACTTTTTGTGCCATCATTTGTTGAATCTAAGTCGCTGCTTTGCTTTTTAAGTCGCTGCTTTGATTTTTAAAAAAGCAACATTTAGTTTATATTTGAAGAGCCAGTCTACAGATACTACATACTTGAAAAGAATTACTTAAAGGCAAACTATGGTAGCCACTTTTCCATCAATCATTTTGCATTCAAACTTATATTTGATAATAAAGGAAATCAAAGACCATTAGTTTCAAATTACTATTTTTGAAGGAAATATATTCTCGTGTAATAACCTCTGTACTCTCTTTTATAGATTGAATTGTACTGGAGGGCAGTAAAGTGTAGGGGATGGTTTTTCATTAGTCCATAATGATTCGCCAGATTCTTCAACATAAAGTTTAATTGGAATGATGTAGGATAGAAATAAAGATTGTTCCTCAACATAATTGATACTTATCTTGTGCTGGTTGAACCATCAAATCCTACTTTGTGTGTAAAGACAAGAATGGATTTCTCAGGAGCCTTTACAGATTCATTGAATATTCTTAACAACCTGTATGTAGTATAGTTAATAAGGCTCTGCAAATCAACTGAGGCTGAATAATCAGTATTTTGTATCCCACAACAAGGTATACATTATTCCTTTTCTTCCCTTACTTCATTATAAGTTGAATACAATTTGTTTTCTTTAGAAATTGCTCCAATACAAATTTTTTGGTAGACAGTCCGAAATCAAAGCTAATGCTTCCTCTACAGTATACATTGTTGTTGAATTAACTGCACCACCTTTCTCTGATTTTAATATTTGTTTCTTAACCTTAATTGTAAAAATGTAAATTTGAAGAGTGAGTTGAACACAATCCACTAAGAAAATTTATCACTCTTAGTTTTTTGAAGGTTTTTTTTTTTAATAAATAAGATAAATTAATAAATAAGATAAATAAATGACTATAGTATAGATGTTTATGTATCATGGCATCACTGAACCTTTTTTCCTATTTTAGTTTCAAAATAAGTAAAATAGTTCCTCTATTTTGACAGTATTGTTTTTTCTGCTCACCTCTCCTTTTTTTTCTTCAGAAGCTTCGGTAAATGGTATGGAATTTATATATCAGATGATTGTATTTAGTATAAACACTTGCTAAAACACAATTAAACAGTAAAAAACATCATTAGTCCATTACTTTAGTTTTTATGAAGTATCATACCTAAATTGTGAGAAGAAGTAGGAAAAGTTAAGCCCGAGTTACAGATCCCTGTAACTTTATAAGCATCAGGGTCGGTAATTGATTTGGTTAAGTTATTTTTCAAAGCATAAAACAATTTTTGAGATTTTTTTAATTTTTCATAATGATTGGTAAAAGAAAATTTCAATTTAAAAATTTAATTAGTTTTTTAAAGTTTTTAAATAGTATTCGTATTTTAGATTAAAAACATAATCAGTAATTAACTGAAATAAGTTTAAGTTTATAAATAAAAAATTACTTAATAAGGTGGAATAGCATTAAGTTTTATTGTTTCTTGTAGTTTTTGTAATTGCAATTAATTACTTAGAGTTCATACTTGACAACATTGTGCTTTGAACAACTGAAAATGATAAACAAGTGGTATGTTTAAAACCTGTTAAACATTAATTTGTTCATGTTTGCACAAGATATTTAATGAGAAGACACTGTAAAATAGTTATTCCCATAGTGGGGAAAAACTTTATAGTTATTCCCCACTAAATATGTGGACGAAAAAGTTTCTTGATCCTTTTTTCGAAACTTTTTCGAAAAAAAAAGATCTTGATCCTTTTACTTTTTATTATATTTTATACTTTTAACTTTTTTAACTTTTGTAATACTGTTTAATGTTAAGAAGAAAGTTATAAAATACATATAATATAATACAATATAAGATTATTCTTATTTTTTTTTTTTTTATTTGCATTCACTCCCAACAAGGCTGCAAGCAACTACTAGTTGGGAATTACTAGGAAAAAAAAAAGAACAGAGTTATAGAGTTGAAGGTTATAGAAGGTTATAGAAAAGTTGAAGGTTGTATGAGTCAGGAAAACATGAAGATGGGAGAGAGTTCCAAAGGATTGAAGTGTGGGGAAAAAAACTAGATGAATAAAAGTTTTTAGAGCATGCAGGACAGATACAGTAAACGGATGAGACTTAGCTGAATGACGAGTAAAACAAGAATGAATTTTAGTTGATGGAACTAGAGATGATAACTCCTTTGAGCAGTGACCATGATAGTATTTGTAGAATATTTGTTAAGTTTTCTAAAATAAAACATGTACCCTGATATTGAGACAATAATATTTTAATAAAATTAAAGAAAACTGTGCTTACAAGGTGAAGCAAAAATTTATGAGTATTTTCTCTTTTTTTTTTTAAAAAAAAAGTTTTTTAATTAGATGAGCTTGAAAGCATTCCCAAGCATTCCTAAAACAAAAATAAGAATATTTAAATGACAGATATTTTATTTGAAGTATTTAGTTTTGAAATTTTGAAAAAAAAGTTTATACATATGTATATATATATATGTATATATATATATATATATGTATATATATATGTGTGTGTGTATATATATATATATATATATATATATATATATATATATATATATATATATATATATATATATATATATATATATATATATAAATATATATACCAGGGCTCAAATTAACACAAAAAAATCTAATCGCGAAAAAAAAAATTTCATACCCCCCCCCCCTCATCCCCCTTATACCTTGCGCTTCTTTGCGGTAACGGGGGAGGGGGGAGGGAAGTTGTGTTAGTATATAATTGTAAGTTTTGTACGTAATTGTTCTATTTTTAACATATTATATCTCATATTTAAATATAATCTTATAATTTTCTTGTTTGGCAGAGTTTAAAATAGCGTAAGTTACTGTTATTATTTACAACTTAAGTTATAACTTAAAGTTTAAGTTGCAGTTGTAATAAGCAATAACGTTTTTAATACTATTAAGATATTTCTTTGAGTACTTAAAATGATACTTAAAAAAGTAAAAGTAAAAAAGTAAGAGAAAAATGCAAACATTACAATATTGAAACCACTTTAATTGGTCAAAGAAAACTATTTAATACGTTCATACTGACATTAAAACACATGTTAATTTTAAATAGTATTTAGTTGTTAAAAGCTATAAAACAACATTAAAACAAACTGCAAAGTTGTTTTAAAAATATAAAGAGCTTGGGTTAATGTAAAACAAATTCGTAACGCTGTTTCGTGTTAATTTATACAGTAAAACACGTTTAAAATAAAAAGAAGCAAATTAATAAAATTGATCTAGTTAATAAACTAAAACAAAACTTCATATTTGCGCCTATAGACCTATACGAGTTTATAATCTATAGACCAAACAAGTAAGATCAAAGCATAATAACATTAGATACCACTGTTGTAAATTATCGTTTCCTGATCAAGCGTACTATTAAAAATTTAAGTATAATTAAGTTTTTCATTCAAATGGTTTTTAAACTGATGTTTTCATTCAATTTTTTTTTAATTCTAATCATTTTCCAAAAAAAAAGTGAAACAAAAAATTTTGTTTAATAAATCGAATTATATTAAGTATAAGAATATGCTTAAATTATTTTTTTAGAAGAAATTTTTTTCGAACAGAAGTAAAATAATTTATTAAATTTGCTTTAAAATTTTTATAATTTTTATTTTAACTTGCAATTTGCAATCACTGCTTTGATGTTTGCAATAGAATGTTTCTACTTTTAAAATTATTTTCTAGAAAAAATATATAATTCAAAATGTTAACAAAATTTAAGATTTACGAAAAAAAAATTTCCTTCTTCATTCTCCCTTGTATATCAAGCTTTTTTTAAATTTTTAAATTTTTTTTAAGTTTCAAATTTCAACCACAAAATTATTTGAATAAGTGAATTTTAAGGCTAAAGTTCTTTTGTTCATATAGATTTCTTTTTAAATAAAATCCCTGAAAACAACTTGCGTATTTATAGAAAATGTTTAGTCTAGATGTCGCTATAAATAAAATGAAAATATAAAAAAATCGTTTTTATATTTTCGTTCGTGTCGCGTTTTTCATATTCTATTCGACAATTTTTGTTAAAATAATTATTAGTTAAAAGCTTATATTATGTGTTAACTACATGTAAGATCTAAATTGAAACATGTCTATGGCTAACTTTTTCCAGTATATAAAATAAATTAATATAATTGTTAAATTAATACTTAAGTAACTGTAAGTTACTATCTTAACTTAACTGGTTGTTTTGATTTAGGTTATAAGTTAATTTACTGTGATAAATTAACTTATAACCTAAATCTATACTCTATCCATTCAGTAAAGTTAACTAAATATAACTTCAATAGTTTCTAGGTCATTAAAGCAAAAAACGTGAAAGCAAAAAGTTGCTGGTTTCTATTAGCACATTTTACTAATAGAAATTTTATTTAATAAAAAAGAATTTATATATATTTTATTATACTTAAAGTTGTAAAAATAATTATATAAAATTATTTATAAAATAAAAAATTAAATCATTATTATTAAGTTAATTTGGAGCAACATTTCTTTTAAAAAAAGATAAAAATGCTGTTTTGTTAAAAAAAATAAAATGAATAAAAAATTCTTTTTAATTTTTGTCTTTTTAATTTGCTTCTACGCAGAGATTTAAAGTAATTCAAATTAAAAAGTGCTTTACGTTGAATAAAATTCTCCGCACGAAAGAGCAAATGATTATGCTTCTATTCAAAAGACAAACTTTGCGTGACGTACTTTACTATGAAAACATTACTTTTAAGAATTGCCAAAAAAAAAAAGCTAAATTAGAAAAAAAGGAAATAAACAACTAAAAAAGTAAACCAATCGCGAAAAAATACGTTTCAAGAAAAAACTAATTGCGAAGGTGTAAATTTATATATATATAAATATATATATATATATATATATATATACATATATATATATATACATACATATATATATATATATATATATATATATATATATATATATATATATATATATATATATATATATATATATGTATATATATATATATGTATATATATATATTTGTATATATATACACATATAAATATACATATATATATATATAAATATATATATATATATACATATATATATATATATATATATATATATATATATATACACATATATACATATACATATACACATATACATATACATACATATATACATATACATATACACATATACATATACATACATATATATACATATACATATACATATACAATATATATATATATATATATATATATATATATATATATATATATATATATATATATATATATATATATATATATATATACATATACATATACATATACATATACACAGATATACATATACACATATGATATTTCACCAAACAAAAACATATTTTTTTAAGAGCTATTTTTTACTACTTGGGCTGTTGAGAACATCTCATTTTTTATTTTCTTCTACTTCATAATAATTTTCTCTAACTGGTTTAGTTTCTGTAACTTCTTTATTTCGATATCTTCTTCATTTCAACCTTTTCATTTCAGACATTTAAAGATAAATTTAGGTATTACATGATGTTTATTTGGTTTTTAATTCATAACTTTGGGTTAGGTATTTAAAGTAGCGCCAGGGTCTATCAAAAATTTTTATATTTTTTTGTACTTGCTCATTACTTTTCTATTTTATTGTCTTCATTATCCTAAAAGTGCTCTTTTAGTTCAAGGTGGTAGTCTACCTGAAAAAATAGACATTTTTGAGCTAGTTTGTTTATTTACCTTAACAACACCATAACAACAAAACACTAAGAGCTTATTTTTTATATGGCTAAGATAAACCTTCTTTTTTTATATATATAATGTTAATTTGTAGTGTTTTTGGTCATGCTTTTGAGTCACATTTTCTTATGGTTGTCTTACTAAACATTTTGGTTTTACTAGAATATTATTTAATCTCTGAATAATAATAAATGCTTTAATTCTCTGAATAATAAAGATGAAAAATGTGCATGTGAAAATTAAAACAAAGCTGAGTAATGAATGCAAGATAATATAACATGAAAGTTTCTTGTAAACAGTAATAATATAAAATCAATATAATAATAATAAATATTGCAATAAGACTAATAATAACTAAATTTTTATTAATCTCAGTAATAAATATTATTAGTACTCTCCCAAACAAATTCTGGAAAAGCAACAAACAAAATTTTGTTGATATTCCACCTTTGTTGATATGTCACTTGTGTTGTTAATATTTGCACCTTATTTTGATATGTCCTGGTTGTGGCTATACAACTATAACTGTCTCTGATAACAGAAAAATCAAAAAGGGCCCATTGAAATTTTATGTGATTCATGTGGTTGGTGCAAATCATCAAAAAAAAAATGTACAAATGTAAAGATGCAAATCATTTTCTACATCAAAAGAATGTACTATACAAAACAACATTCAAGTTATGAAGCAAATGCTAGAGCAGTAAAAGGCTATCATGAAAATGGTTGAGATTTTTCTGCAATTAAAATGTTTTCACAATGCAAAAATATATTTTCGTTACAGAAATTATCTTTTTCCGGTTATTTATGAAATTCCGGATATTTTTTTTAACTTTTTTTTTAAAAGTTTTAAATAGTCATCATAAATTGTCTTCGATAAAAACTTCCTTCTTCAAAAACTTCCTTCCATTCTC